TGCTTTATTTCAGGTGAGTAAAACATAATTCTAAGATTTAACTTTCTGAAAGGTTACAATTAAGTCTATTAAAATATTTTAGGGACATTTAACTGTCCAATAAATGTTAGCTTTTTTCTGTTAAGTGTTTCTGAAGACATCGTGATTCCTTAATGATCCTTTTGAGCTTTCCTGTGATTTTTGCTTTCACACCCATTTTAAAAATGGAATCTTATTTCTTTTTGTTCCGTTTGTCAGGAAAAATTTGGAAAGAAAGAAGGATAAAGGAGGGAGTTGGAGGAGGGAGGAAGGGGAAAGAGGAAAGAGAGGAGGAGGAGGAGAAGAAGATGATGATGAAGAAGAAGAATTTTGCTTCTCTGCACTAAGCAAATTTAAATGTTATACCTGTTAAGTTGATGCTTAACATAACATAAAAAGTTACCCAAAATCAGTTTCAGAAAAATAGCTAAAATATTAGTATTCAATTCAAGATTTTAAAACAAGTGTTCAATACTTGTCAAGAGATAAAAGATAAATCCCAAAATATTGCTGAAACAATCCAGAGAAATCAAGTCGGACAGCATCCCAAAATTTTAACTTCCAAAGAAATCTTGATAAGAAAACTCAAATCTTGTCATTTATTAAGTATTCAACTGAGTCATGACAAAACATATTCATCATTATCACATGTTATACTTTTTGTCTCAGTTTCTTCTCAACGTGCATTCCTAATATTACATGACCTGAATGTGGAGATTCTACACACACATATATGTACATGTGGGCAATCTGAGTTTGGAAAACCTAATGTGATTGCATTGTTAATAAATACATCTGGATAAGATACAGCTGGAATGAACTAGTCAATTAATCTTCACTAAAGCTGGTTGAATAGAAATCTTCAATAATCCAGTCTATTAAATTTGCAATTATTGTCTGAGATGAGTACATATATTTTCAATAATGAATCTGGACTCACAAAGAAAGCATAAAATAACATTTTAGATTCTGGGCAATTTTTCATGGAGATAAAAAAGAAATGCTTCTAAAATGTCTTTTGAGTATTATGGCTAAGATGCCCTTTGAACATCTTTTTTTCTTTCAAAAGGTGACATCATTTCAAATTGCTTTTTAGACCTCACTTTCTCCTTTGCAATTATTATGTTGCTTAAGTATCATGCAACCATTTTTGTATATTCATATGGCTGAGCCAAATAGGACCTTAACTTATAACTGTAAACCATTATTAGAACTCATACAAAATTGAAGATCTCCTCATTATAACTTTTCCCATTTCATTCATAAATTTCATGGTAGGAGAAAGAAGAAGAAAAAAAATAAATACAGGCAGTAGCTTCTATTTTACAAATGTAAAATCTAAACTGGAATTTATCATTAGCCCTATATTTTGCAATTAAATAAAATATAATAAGAGGTGATTTTATTTATCAAAATGTTCTGTATCTCATCCATTCTTTCTGCAGGCTTTGTAATACCCTTATTAAGGGGTTAAGCTGTAACAGAAAATCCAAGTCAGTGCATCAACCGATCTGTACTCAGGCAATAACAGATTTATGAGAGAGTCACTGTACTATTAACTCTTGCAAAAAATATTTCCATTTGACTTTGTGTGACTCCCCCCTGTGGCTATGGTGAGTCTTTAAATTTCATTTCATTTTTCAATGAACAAGTCTGGCAGGGCTTAAAATGTATGTTACTCATTCCTGTGGGGAAAAATGATACATGAACTAAAATACAATAAAAGGCATTTGTGTGGCTGAGAAGATAAACAGCAGATCATTCTAGGCACCAAATTCAGTTCTCAGTTTTTCATGAGTTGACTCAAAGCTACAGTCATATGTGATATACACAAATTGTCTTTCTGCAGACTTCTTTTATCTCAAGTATCAGTCCACCTTCCTGTTGGCTGGTAGTTGACCAAGCATTGAGAGCATAACTACATTCTTGTGGATATAGGCAAATGCAATTTTTGAAGTGCATCCTGTTGCTGCTACTCAATAAGTGTATTAGTGGTTGAAGGGCAGGGAACTGATATTAAACCTGACAATTCCTGGCCTTTGTTGCTTCCCAAGAATAGGTGGTGGAGTCATTGCTTATGTTTGCTTTTACTTTACTTCTTATTCAGAGTTAGTAACTGAAATTATTTTAAATTATTTCTTGAGCTGCAAATAGATTTTGCAGATTTTATTCTGCTAGTCGTTGCTGACTATAAGGGTAGAGCTCATCTCCATTTCAAGATCATTGAGTCAGCATGGAATGTCTGAAGACATTTTCACTGTCATGTGGCTAGCATGACATCATGGAACACTGTTACCTTCCCACTGAAATGGTACCTAATAATCTACTCGCATTTTCATGCTTTTGAACTGCTAGGTTGGTAGAAGCTGGGGCAAGGACGGGAGCTCACCCCATCGTATGACCCTTGGCTCTTGAAGCTGGGGTGCTGATTTCCCAGCCGGTAAGCCCAGGGTCTTAACCTCTGAGCTGCAAATGCGATCTAGTAATGCTCGACATTTGCAGACAGAAAAAAAGGACAAACCTGCCCAATCCAAATCTCTAAGACGAAAGAGGAATATATATTAGGCCGGGATAACCTTGAACTACGCCATTTACATTCCAACCTGAGCTTAGTACACAAGATAATCCGCCATAACATCCTACCTGTTAATGACTACTTTTACTTCAACTGCAATAACACAAGGGTTATCAATAGATACAAACTAAATGTAATCTGTTCTAATCTTGATTGCAGGAAAAAAGATTTCAGCAATAGAGTAGTAAATGTGTGGAGCAGACTACCTGATTCTGTTGTTAGTTCCTCTAACCCCTTTTACCTTAAGCCTTTTTTACCTTAAGCTGTCTACCATGGACCTTACGCATTTCTTAGGAGGTCCTTAAGGGGACGTGGGTAAGTGCACCAGCGTGCCTACTGTCCCTGTCCTACTGTCCCATTTATATTTTTATGTGTTTATGGCTATGCTTTGCTTATTTATATCCATTTATTTGTGCCATATTTTCATGTGTTTTCATACTTATTTCCTTGTACTTGTTGACAAATAATAAATAAATAAAATAAAAATATTGAATGTTTTAGACAGTGGAGATCCCAATTACAGCTTCTAGCTTATCTACCAATTTCCATCATAAAATGGGCAAATAAAAAGGAGAAGAATATTTAGATATATTCCCTTTGTATTTTAGTCATTTATTAATGGATTAATATAAATTCAGTAGATAATAACAATAGTAAAATGTATATATGATAATAAACACTAATACATTAATAAAACACCATAAAAGCATGGTCAAAATAATATTTCAAACAAAGAGTCATAGTGACTGTCATGTTATTTATTAATAGCATCTATTCAGAGCAATTTTCTTATACCTACATAAAATTGTTCAATAGAAACAATATGACCTTTGCATTTTTTCTTAGTTACAGTAGAATATAACATTACTGAATATTTTCCTTTTACAAAAGTTGTAATGAACCACACCTTTGCACTTTTTCCTATATTTCAAGGTATACCCTTCATGTTCATTTTATTTCTCTCTTTGCGCTTTCTAATTCTGAGAACATATTTTCATGTCTAGCTTACAATTAGAACACAAACTTTTACCATCCATTCTTTCAGATGAAATTTTTTTAAAACTTTTCTTTATAAGGCTATTATTCCACCAGCTTTAGGTGAATAAATAATCATTTCAATAATCATGAATATATAAATTATAAGTCATATAGAATAAACATTCCCAGCTTACCCTCATAATTATTGGACAAAACCAAACTATATACTGTACATTATATATGCTGTCACACTTCTCCGTACCTTCAACAGAAACTTTAACTGGTATATATATATACAATTTAAATGGGCTTCTTTTTCAAGTATGTATCTGTTATATTTATTTGTTTGCTTGTTAAAGGTACAACTCTTTTATTAAGACATTCAAACTTTATGTACTTACCTAACTAAATAACTATAAAATAATAGATATGCTGGTGAAATAGAAATACAATTGGGATTGTATTATCATAGACTTGATTGAGCTTAAAAAGCTAACTAACGTGTATTTTAGATGGGAGATGAACAGGGAAGAGGTAAATTGGGGAAAAAATATTCCAGAATGTTCCAGAAGGCAACAATATTAAACTAGGTCCATACCTAATAAAAAAAGCAACTTGATGTATGTCTGTGGCCCTGACATGAAAGATATTTATATTTTACTGTATATTATTTTTAAAGGAGAGACAGAGTGATCTATCAGTACAGTGAATTACTAAAACAGAAAAGGAAGGACTTGCAATAAATTCCTCAATTAGTTAGATGCCATTCAGTAGTTCCCTATTTAATAATAAATCATAGTTCTTAGAAGTTTCTTGGAAGTAAGATCATTACCTTCCTTATTAAATGTAATAAAAGAGATGGCAACATAATTTCTGTCAAGTTCCAAGATCAAGGAAGCAAGAACTACAGAGGTCTGCAAGGTATCTTTAATGCTAGTCTTTGAATAAATAGCAGTATTTTGGAAACTGTAAGAAGAATTTCCTACCTTCATTTGTAGTGAGTTCATTAAGGAAGAACCTCTTTTGAAAAATTTGAAAGGTTTCTTTGCAGGTTTCTTGCCATACGGGCTGAGTTGCTCTTTATAAGTTAACTAACAAAGGATTTATCTTCTATCCCTTTAATATTCTATTTTTTTTAAAAAAACTTTGCTTTCCCTACTATCACTTTCCTAACCTTCTTACAATCTTTCACAATACCTCTACATCGATTATCCCTCTCAAATATCAGTTGCCATTAGAAATGAGAAAGGATAATGGACAATATCAGGACAATATATATATTTCTTCACTGCATCTTTTAGCAAGAGATTATTTTCATCATATCGATATAATGTTTAGGAGTGATAGAGGATGAATGGGAAAATACAAAATGCCTACTGGGTGAGCTTGAGACACTTACCATCTCTTACTATCTCTCATCTTAACTCACCTGTCATCAAGATGAAACAGAGCCATGGATGCTGCCTTAAGTTTCCTGGAAGAAAGACGATACAAAATGGTGATTGAAATGCTGATACAGAATGGTAATATAAAACTAAAACATAGAATTGTTGTGTGTTTTTTTAAAATACCAAAACCCTGGTATCTTCTTCAGTCTGACAAACTCATTGTCAGCATGTGTCATTTGGATTGCTTTCAGCTAGTTTTTGTATGAATGGTATCTGTCAACTTATACAACAAATGCCCTGATTTGTTATCCAAAGACTGGGCATCTCTTTCCTTTTGTATTTCACAGAGCTTCTAGCAAATTAATTAAGGAAATAGAACAGGTGTTATTTTGTTTAGTAACATTCAGCATCCTCATTATTTTTGTAACAATATGAAGAAGGAAGAAAACAGAGACAAAGAAGCAAATAACCTTGGAACACTGTAACACACTGTATATCAAACTTTAACACGATCGAGCAAGTTCAGAGGTATTTCACGAGAAGAGTATTCCACTCCTCTACTCACAATAGCCTATGCCACCAGGCTTGAAATTTTGAGTTGGTCAATCTGGAACTGCGCTGCTTGCGGTTCGATCTAAGAATAGTTCGATCTAAGTGTAACATCTTGCCTGTCAACAACTTCTTCAGCTTCAACCACAATAATACATGGGCAAACAATCGATACAAACTCAAGGTAAATCACTTCAAACTCAATTGCAGAAAATACAACTTCAGTAACACTGTGGTCAATGCCTGGAATGCTCTACCTGACTCAATTGTTACAGCCTTGAACCCTCACAGCTTCAATCACAAATTGCCTACCGTGGACCTCACCCCATTCTTAAGAGGTCCATAAAGGGGGTATGCATAAGTGCACCAGTGTGCCTACCATCCCTGTCTTACTGTCCCCATTTATCTGTATTTACTTCCTTAATTCATGTATATATTGTCCATATCTATACTTGTTGTCTTGTACATGTTTGACAAGCAAGCAAGCAAGCAAGCAAACAAACAAGCAAACCAATAATACTGCCATTTGATTATTACTGATTATTACCGAAATGCCAGCTTTGCCAGCACTCTGAGATGCTACCTCAACTACAAGTTTTGCAGAACCCTGAGGATTCATAACTAGGAAAACAGGCCTTAGAGTCCATTGTTTTGAATTTCAGGCTTGGTAACAATTTCAGCTCAGATGTTACCCCTATATATGAGGTTAATTTAATTTTTAATTCCCTAAGTGTCAAAAGAGAGTGGCTTAATGGATTTGGAGCTATTTCCTATTGATCACACATAGTTCAATCTCTGGTGTTATCACAGTTTATTTCTGTGATGAAGGAAATAGGATGAGATTAAAGAAATCTTTTAAATGGTCCACAGAGGAAGGATTCAAGGCAGTCTGTAAGAGAAATACCAGAGTGTGTTTTATTAGAGAAGCTTCCGTCTTTCTATGGTATGAAGCCAAATTCAGATAAATTGAAAATTAAAATAGTTAAGGTATAATTAAACTCAGTTGAATTATCTCTCTTATGTATGATATCACATGGGTTCACAAAACTGTTTATTCTGAGGTTTGCACAGATTGCTGGCTCAGTGGTCACAAATATGTGTGAACCCAATGTGCATTTTCATACATACCACATCCATAGGTCCATTTATCTTTTCTGGTGACATACTTTGCATAATGTATTTACAGTAACATGTTCATGTCAAATCCCAAATATCCTTTAAGAAATCTAGGTCTTTATAGCTTTTCCAAAACTTAATAAGGTTGGAAGTAGTCTAATTTTTGGAGGAAAGTTGTTCCAGCAAAACCTTTCCACCTTGATTCTAACTTAAGTGCTCCTTAAGAATGGGAATCTGGATAAAGTTTTCTCCCCTACAGTAAATGTTACTAGGCTGGCAGATATTAATTAAATAATCTTAAAGATACCAAATGAGCCATTTCAATGAGAACCAACAGCCTGAATTGCACTCTAATCACAGTAGAGAAGCAAGATGGACAAATTTCATGGCAGATGTGTTAGATGGACAAACCATATAAATGTATGCTACTTTTGGACAAGTTCAAAGCTTCAAATGGTCTTCATGGGAAGTTTCACACATAGCAAATTTCAATCACAAGGTGATTAATCCTTCTTCAGCCCATGGTAACTTTGGTCTATAAGCCCCCAAGTACAATGGTGAACTAAAGGTCCTAGTGTTTATTCAATTTCTATTCTCTGTCAAGGTAAAATTATCGATTTATCTAAAAAGATTCAAAATACTCAACTTTCTATGAAAAATGAAATCATAATAAACATAAGTAAAGTCAGTCCCCATTCACAGTAAATATATTGATTCACCTTGGCATTTTACATTTCATGTTGGAGTTGTTAAGCTATTCCTGGCTTCTTGAAATTCACATATGTGGAAAATCAGATATACATTGTGTATAGAATGCCTTATTTATATTTATATTAATTAGGGTATTTTATAAAATATATTGTAAGTTACACCCTCCTTGGAGATGGATAACCACTATATAAATATATAATTATTTAAGTGTAGTAATATTTATTAAAACATTGATTTGAAATATTAAAATTTGCATATTATTTAATGATATTTCAAATCACTCTAATGACAGAATTAATAGTAACCATTTACACTTGTTTCTATGCTGCCCCCCATTAAGATGACTTTTAGTACTCACATAGAAAAAATACTGTCAAAATTTTAAAAAACACCACCCTTGGAGGCATGCCATATTAATATTTTTATATGAAACCTATTTAACATATTGTTCAGAAAGAGCAAATCCTCACAGGGAATACAATTTCGGACCTGTAAGTAAGAGAATAGATGCCTCCTTATAAACTAGGATAAAATTCAGAGTCTTAACAGTGGACAATTCTCATTTTGATTTCTATTGTTTCTTTTGTCAGAACTCAAGGGAAGAAAATGATAGGTCTGTCATCACTAGTTTTCTGGTTTAATTAGTGTTTATAAATTCAGCTGAAAGCTGATAACAGATTATAGGACAAAGCAGACACTTCTACTGTGCTGCAAAAATGAAAGCTATTGTTCATTTCCTCCTATTTCACCTACATTAATGAAACCAGTAATCGTTCTGGACCTCATGGCCTTCTGTCATGTAGTTACAGCTTGTCCTTTCACAAAAGAAAATGAGAAAACTGCTGAGTATTAGAGATATTAACGGTTGCTAGAACAGTATAATAAAAAGGCTCTTTTTCAAAAGCTTTGCCAAGTTCATGTCATTATTCATGAATGAGTAATGGATTCACAAGGAGAAGAAACCTGCTCTCTCGGTGATGTGGAGCAGCAAGAAAGAAGAACAAAAACAAACAAACAAATAATGTAAAACATGCCCATCTGGGCACATGGAAGAACAGTTTTAGCCTGAAGTGATAATAAAGTCCATTTACAAGAAATGAAGGTTTCTTTGCATTCTGAGGAGGCATTGCTTAACATTCATCAAACTACAGAGTTAAGCAAACATTTTCAGGAGGGAAAAAAAAGTCACTCAGCCCTGGAGGCTTTCCATAGAACTGTTCGCTTCACTAGTCCATTCAAATTAAAAGTTTAACAATGCAAGATCAAACCTGAGTATATCTTGAATGAGGGTGTGCCAAGCCACACTTGACCTTTGCAGAGGGAGATGAGATCCATGTAACAAAAGTTAGAAATAAGACCCATTTGTATCAGCTTTTCTACACCCCTTATAAGGAAGTATTGATTTGGGGCATGAAATAGATGGTTTGTTGTGATTTATTTCAGTGGAAAATATTCAGCAAATGTGCAGCCTAATTATATGGAAAACCAGACTGTGAATTCAACAAGGCGTATTCTCATGTAAGGATTAGAATAAGTAATAAATGTTCTATTTGTGATGGAATTGTATACAATTCAATTTTTAGTTCAATGAATATGCAATTTTCCTATTTTTCCCCCGATTGGATCACAATCACATAACTCTTCTAAACAATAAACATTTTGTATACGGACAAAGGAATCACCTACGTTTAATATGAGTATGATTTTTTTTCAAGGAGTAAAAATATACCATTTGAAATGAATATGCCACAAATGTTAGGTCTTATCAGCCTACAATGATTTTAAGTAATTTGTATGATAGAAATATGTTACAGAGGAATCAAAAAAGTCTAGATGGTAGTCACAATCATGCAATCAAAGCCTTGCCATCTTTAAATGTATGTTTTGATGCACATAGAAAAGGGTGAAGCTTTGATCGCATGGTTGTGACTGCCATCTTGACTTTTTCGCCTTCTATCCTCCCCTCCTTGCCCCGCCCCTGTAGACATCCCTGCTATGATGTTGCTTACAGGATTGTTTTTAAAGATGTTACATGTTAGGCAAAATGCAATGCCCAATCTGTTGTCAAAATAAGAATAACAAATATAACATTAAGTTTATTAAAACCACTTCATTCTCTTATATTATTGTCCTCTGGTTACAATATTTTAAACCCTTTTCCCGCCAAGATTTAGAAGTCTAGTGTTTCAAGACTGCTGGGATATTTCAGAGTTTTGCACTTAAAATTAAAGTCCTAACTTTAAAATGTTTTCCTTCCCGGAGTCACAAGAAGGAATTAATCATTTAACTGACTCTGGGAGATGACATTGAGCCTCACGTAGTTTCCCAGATTATTTGGTAGAAGGTAGGAAAGGCAGGGGTGTCATAATACTATTATAGACAGCTTGAGGTATACTAAAATAAATAATTCCTCCTTTTTCATCTTCTCAGAAGATACTACATGCTAGAGAAAAATAGGCTGACAGCTATAATTAATGGCAGGGAAAGTGGCATGCAATATTCTTTTGGGCAGCTATAAATTGTATGCTACCTTGATCATAAAGAAGTTTCAAGCTCTCATAACTAGGATACATAAAAATGAGATGTAAAATGATGAGATTTAAAAAAAATTATTGTCACCTAACTTCTGTCAACCACAGTGGAGAAGATAATGATAACATGTATATTTGCAATACAGCATGTGAATTATTTTCTTTAATCAAGGAGTGAAAGCAGAAATTCTCAAGAAATTATTCACAAACAGGCTGATGCAGGCTGAACTTCAGATTCTCTGCCAACTTCAGTATATTAATTTCACTATATTAAACCAAGAAGCATTGCATTATTATTATTAATCAGTGAACGTACTCGCTCTCCCAATGGGAAGCTTACCTAACAGTGTCCACTTATGCCCCAAATGAAATTAGGATGGCTATGTATTACAGACCCCAAGAAGACTGTCATTTGGATGATGTACAGTAGAATACTAAGAGCTGCTCTTTTGGTGAAGTATTAGACCTCATGTCATCACAGCAATGATATATTTCACCATAGAATAAGGATCAATGTGAAAATAGATCATTGGAGTAATACATAACGGAAAAAATATATCCCCTCAGCAAGGGCAATCTACCCAATGTTGGATGATAGCTTGCACAGTGTATATATTTCCCATATTCATAGCATAAACAATTGTTGGGTCTTGTTTCCATATTGCTGTTATGATATTTGTATATGTCATAAATTGGAACCTGAGGTTTCATACAGCTGCAGAATGTTTAAGAAAAAACAAAAAAGTTAGATAATTG